ATATGTGAGGTAGATGAGATGGTGTGATGTGGTGTGGTGATTTTGATGTCTTGTCGTTGAATGTCGTTGTCGTCGTCGTTGTCGATTGTCTTATGGGGCGTTGTTGAGTGTGTAATATATTTTTGCAGCGTTTTGACCGATTATACGTGGACCTTCTGGAAATTTCGAGGTGGGTGTATTAGGATTACGGATATATTACGGATGTGTATTTTATTTATATGGTTTGGTGTAATATATCGTGTATTTTGATTACGATATCATCTCTTCCTTCGCAAATCATCCTCTTCAGAGTTGAATAAATGCTGAAATGATATTGTATGTTGAGGGGGAAATAAAAGAGTGGACATCTGCTACTTAATTCCATTCATCAATGCAAGATCCATGTTGGCATGAATCGGTGTCTATCTGGAGTGCGACAGAATGCGGCTGTTCGAAGTCAGGGGCTATCCCGTTCAGGGGCTGCTCAATGCATGTAGTAAGTAAGTAGTAAGCAGTGAGAAAGAGACTTAAGTTCAGAGACAGCAAGAAACATGAAGGATAAAAAGGGCTTAATCGCAGATAGATCTAAGCCACATTGCGCTCACTCTAAATTGGAGCATTCAGCTCAAATTTCTCTTGTCACAAAGCAACTACACGCTGACTGACCATTCTTAGGTGTACGATACTATCCGAGACTAGGTCATTATGACATGGCGCATTGCAATTGAGGATGAAAAGAATGTCCCTTTAGGAGACAAGCTACAGATTGTCTGTCGTAAAAATGAGCAGGCAATTTTTTAGGCTATCTAGACTGATGTCTGAAGTTGGACACCTATTTCAAGGGGAAGAAAAGAGAACAAAAGGGGTCACTACTCCTGCAGGAATCGTTCAGGCAATAACAGTGGTAAATTGGGAGACTGGTGTGTTTATCATCGAATTGAATCATCATTGATATAAGTGACAGATTCAATCAAGATTCCATTACAATTGAAGCACCCGCATGATGTACTACTGGCGATTCACCGTCATCTCTTGTCAATTCAAGCAACTCCGTTGACTATACACAGCCACCCTATGCAGCGGACATCAAGATCGAAAGACTTGAGGTAGGCCAATTCAAAATTATGGTGAATTCAAAATAACAACTCAGCCCCCTTCGAGTGAAGCTCC